CTCCTGAGTAGCTGGGATTACAGGCATGTGCCATCATGCCTGGCTAATTTTTGTATTTTTAGTAGAGATAGGGTTTCACCATGTTGGCCAGGCTAGTCTCCAAATCCTGACCTCAGGATATCTACTAGCCTTGGCCTCCCAAAATGCTGGGATTATAGGCGTGAGCCACTGCACCTGGCCAATAATGTTTTTTCGTTTTGTTTTTGAGACTCAGTCTTGCTCTGTCGCCCAGGATGGAGTGCAGTGGTGTGATCTTGGTTCACTGCAACTTCTGCCTCCTGGGTTCAAGTGATTCTTCTGCCTCAGCCTCCCGAGTAGCTGGGATTATACGTACCTGCCACTACACCTGGCTAATTTTTGTATTTTTAGTAGAGATGGGGTTTCTCCATGTTGGCCAGGCTGGTCTCAAACTCCTGACTTCAAGTGATCCACCCACCTCACCCTCCCAAAATGTTAGGATTACAGGCGTGAGCCACCATGCCCTGCCTATAATAATGTCCTTGAACCCTGTCTACTCAGTAATATAAAGTAAATATCTTTTTGTCAATGAATAGCTGTATTCCCATTCTTAACCAGTCTTCCATGACATACAATACCATTTATCTTCTACTAGACAATTTTTAAAAATATTTTAAGCAAAAATGTTTAATGTATTTTTGTAATGTATGCTTTCTGTATTATGAGGATATTAAATTCCATCCTAAGGGATAGATAGAAAAGGAATATAGGAAACTCATGTGTTAAATATAATGGGCAACAAGTAGCCTGTAAAATAGGCAGGATTAAGATGTATTGAGTATAGATAGCATAGTGTCAGACATGACAAAGAGAATAAATGGAATACATGTAAAAAGGATGGAACAAGAGTGTTCCTAATGAACAGAACAAGGTGTGGGAAAGGCCTAGTTGCAATGTGCAGACGATGCCACCTTCAGGCTGACATTCATTCCTGAAATGGCCATTCATTAGTGACACCCATTCTGGCCCCATTTCTGTTCTGCCACAGAAACACCGATTAAGAACATGGCTCTAGTTGGGAGCGGTGGCTCATGCCTATAATCCCACACTTTGGGAGGCTAATGTGGGAGGATTGCTTGAGCCCAGAAGTTCGAGGCTGCAGTGAACTATGAACCTGCCACTGCACTCTAGCCTGGGTGATAGAGTGAGATCCTATCTTTAAAAACAAAAACAAAAAGACATGGCAGGCCATTAGCTAGGTATCCCTGGCCCTGAGTTTCTGACAGAGCAAGTGTGCACTGGCTGTTAGCACTAACATTTTGAGTTTTGGCTGCGGTCCTCATGGCCTATCAGAGATAAAGGTTGATGTAGCAGGTAAGACACCACAACACTGTGTAGCATGGGATTCAGGTAATTTGCCCTCCCACCTCTCTTGGACCCTATCCTAAATGTGTTAAACTGCATTATATCTTTCCGCCTTCATTTTGTTTAAAAGTGATAAGGCTGGGTGCGTTGGCTCACACCTGTAATCTCAGCACTTTGGGAGGCTGAGGCGGGCAGATCGCAAGGTCAGGAGTTTGAGACCAGCCTGGCCAACATGCTGAAACCCCATCTCTACTAAAAATACAAAAATTAGCCAGGCGTGGTGGTGTGCGCCTGTAGTCCCAGCTACTTGGGAGGCTGAGGCAGAAGAATTGTTTGAACCTGGGAGTTGGAGGTTGCAGCAAGCTGAGATCGCGCCACTGCACTCCAGCCTGTCTCAAAAAAAAAAAAAAAAAAAAAAGTGATAAACCATGTGATTTGAGCCTCTTAATTTGGGGTGTGAGGTTTCCTGTCCATGACACCTGGGACAGCCTGCCCGATTTAAAGGTTACTACATTTAAAGGTTACTACATCAAGGTAACTGCACACATGACATTGTTGTAAGTGGGTTTTTGCACAGATGTGCAAGTGTTTCCACAGAAATATTCCCCCACATCATTTGTTTGCTGGTAGAACGGAATACCTTCCCACAACTTGATTAGTCATTGTTTTTACCTGGCTTTCTTGCTGCTTACAAAGAGCTCTTCTTTCACAGGGGCTTTTAGCACTTTGCCTATCATATATATTGCAAACATTTCCTGTAGTTAGTGGATTTCTTTTTTCTAGCTTTCTCATGTTTCATAAACATTTTGAATTTTTATGTAGGAAAATCTGTTGATCTGTTCCCTTACATTTTTTGACTTTTTCCTCATGCTTAGGAAAGTCTTCTCTACCCCAGATTATGAGGAAAAGGGAATCCATAGTTTATTCTAGTACTTTTATAACTTCATTTAAAATATGTTTATCTATCTGGGATTTATGCTGATACATGAAATGAGGTTAGACTTCAGACTTACACTTTTCCAGATGGCTAAACTGTTGTCCCAACAGGTATTAAATAATCCATCTTTACCATGCTGATAATCTAAGTGCTGCCTTAGGTGATTCTTTGGTAAAATTTTACTTAAGTAGATTTACTTAGGCTAAAGCTTTTAATTAGCATTTTCTTTCCTAATCAGTTAAGTAGCATGGGTACTTACTGTTGTTATTACTCCTAATATACTACATATCTAAAAACAAGTTCACATTCTTGAGTATTTCACTTAACCCCCTTCCCTAGAAGGCTATTTCCCCTCCTATGCCTGACTCATTCATACTCATCTTTCAGATCTCAGCCTGAATGTCACTTCCACAGGAAAGCTGTCCCTGTAGTTGCATATCAGCTTATATTTTCTTAAAATATGTTCTCATAGCTCTGCATTTCCGTATAGCACCTATGCTGTATTTTATTTTTAAAAGCTGATGTTTTCTGTCAAACGCCTTCCCTTTTTTTGAGTGAAGAATGTAAGAACACGTGTAAATTAGCATCATGCTTTTTAAAAAATAAATTGTAATCCTAACATACATTAATTAGTATTCAGGGTTTCATTAACTATAGCATGGTATCAAATCTTCCATCTCATCTCCCAGGGAGAAAAATGAACACCTCTTTTACACAATGGCAACATTTGTACTGAGATTTCAGTATACTGACATAACACCATGGAGCATGACATTTTGGAATAAAATGTTTTGTGGCAAAGTTATAGTCAGATTGTGTTAAATATTCATATGGATCATTTTGAGCCGTGTACTAAGTGGCAACTGAAATTTTTTAATGGAATAAAGTATTGGTAATACGTCTGATCTACAGTTGAATATTGCAATGTAGTTGTTTCTCAGTTTCTTTCTTTGGAACTGACTCCTGCTGTTTCTGGTGGTGGTTGTCCTTTACAGTGTCTCTGCAGACAAGTATTATTTAGAGTATTTAGATGAAGTTAGAAATTCTCAAATATTAGTAAACATAAAATTTGTTTATATTTACTCAACAAGGAGCTTGATAAAATGAATACTTCTGCCTCTCCATCTCAGAAATGTTGATTCAGTTGGTCTGGGGTCAGGCATTTAAAACAATTTCTTCGGTGATGCTGTTGTAGATGCTACCAGACACCATGTTGAGAATTGCTTAATGGCCCAACCAAGCCTTGCCAGTTCCCTCTATTTGCTTTGTGATGTTCTTCTTGTCCTCTCTGCTATTCACATCCTAAAAGCCTTCATATCTCAGTTCAAATCACAGCAATGAGGTAGCCCTGGACTAACTACTCCAGTCAGAGATGCTGTCTTTGCTCCTATACCAGTTAGTTATTTCACAAAATGTTAGAAATATTATATACTATTAACGTACTATGACACAGTATTGTAATATTTTAAATAAAGCAACATAATTGAATTCATCATTTTAAGACATTGTGATACAGAGGTCTAGTTTTAAGTTCAGAGGCCTAGTGTTAAGTTCCGTTTCAGCATTGACTTTAGTAGCTGTTATAACCAAAAACCTATGAAATTTCATTGATTCAAGTAAAGAATATCATTATGTGCACTTACCAAATTATGTTATAAATTTTGCAATCTCATCCACCAATTTTCAAAAGATTTTGCTGAAATTCAGTAAAGTTGTATCTTCCAAGACTAATCAATTCTCACATAAAATGATATATTTTTGAACACATAATACATTTATATGGAACAATATTCAAAAGTGAAAAAATGGTAAGTTTCCCTCCCACCTTTTTTCCTGGTTACTGGTTCCACTCCCCCAGGGGCTGACCATGTAGACATTTTCTAACCCATTTTGTGCTTACTCCCATAATGAATGAAGAAGGACCTGGTTCTCTCACACCATACCTCCTAGACGTTCCTCAGCCTTATTTGCTTAGAATTTCACTAACCACTTAATATTTAACTACAGTTGTAGTAACATTATGGTTCACAGTCGAACAATTATCACAATTACTCCCACTTTCTTAGACAAGACCTTCCACACCGTGTTTTTTAGTCACTACCTGCTGGGGATGCACTGGAGTCTGTGCTAGCCTCAATGTTCAGCAAAAATCTGGTTCTAGGCACTGGCCTTGGCCAGATAATAATATTATCTTTGTTATTCTAGAAATTGTACCTGATCAATAATAATGGTTTGGTTTTCAGACAAACATCGTATTTGGTCAGATTAACAGCATCTGCAGTATTAACAAAGCAAGCATATTATTAAGGTGACGCTAATTGCTAAAATATACAAGTAGCTTGACATGGTTTTTTTGCTAACATTAAAGTCTGAGTTACTGGTCTTTGGACCTCTTTCCTGTTTAAAGTGAATCAAGGATCAGCTCCTTCTATCTTGTGGGTCCACCATCCCCCTAGGGCCTGACAGTCATCTGCATCCAGCCAGCAAAAGGCAAACAAGAACACAGAGAAGATATATTCACTTCTAAAACACCTTTGACTTGAAGTAACACAGCAATTCTGTTGTCACTCCATTGGCAAAAACTGATTATATGCACCATCCAGGTATAAGGGGGTCAGGGAAATGTAATTTCTGGCTGGGTAGCAATTTCTCATAACTGTACACTATGAAAAGGGAGCACACATTTTTTAATGGACATAAAATTAACTGCTGCAAATAATTCAGACTTATTGCAGATTACCTGATTTTTTAAAAAAGACCAGGTCTCTTACTCGGTAGTCCAGGCTGCAGTATTGTGGTGTGGACTCAAGTGATCCTTCCATCTCGGCCTCCTGAATAGCTGGGACCATAGGTGCATGCCACCATACCTGGATAATTAAAAAAAATTTTGGTAGAGATGAGGTCTCCCTATGTTGCCCAGGCTGGTCTCACACTCCTGAACTCAAGTGATTCTCTCATGTCAGCCTCCCAAAATGCTGGGATTATAGACATGAGCTGCTGTGCCTGGCCTGAACACTCATTTTTAAATAAAGGTAAACATGAACATTCCAGTTATAAATTGAAAGGAAAAAAATTCTCACTGCAATATAAGCTTTATGAAGGCAGGAATTTTTGTCTGTTTTGTTTATTGCTAAATTACTAGTGCTTGGCACCATGTAGGTGCTCAAATATTTGTTGAGTGACTGACTGAATGAATGTGCTTCTATCAATAAGCCAAAACATTAATATGTATGTACTACAAAAATAAAGTGCTACAAATAATTAATAATTGTGAAAAGTGTCATTTTTTTGGTACAGAAACTGATACTGAGAACTTTCTGGTAGATGAATAACAGGGAAGTAGAAGGATAATAAGACCAGTTAATATTTAAAATAGTAAGACTAGATAATGTCTAAAAGAATACCTAAAAAATATTTTAAAAATTTTTAAATAATAATATATCGTAGAACAATACAGATTTGGTTGTCATTCTAATGTAGAATTGGTGTGCTAACATTCACAGTTTTAAATAAAATAAGTGTTAAGAACTGTTTGATTTTTAGTTAATTTATGCCCCTTAGATAGTTTTTAGGAAGAAATCCAATTTGGGAATTCTCCAGTCTTTTGGGAATAACTTAAAAACGGAATGTTAACTTTCCTACCCCAAATTCCATGGGAAAAAAAGCCCTCCAAAGACATCAGTGTCATATGCCATAAATCCCCTTTAATTTGGATAAAATAATGTGAATGAGAAAGTATTAGAGAAAAATGAGATACCCACAAATATTCTCTTCTCAGAATCAAATTTGAAAATGTATCTTAAATGTGAAAGCTAAAACTATAAACCTTCTAAAAAAATAGGAGACTATCTTCATAATATTCAAGTTAACAAAGATTTGTTAAAGCACTAACCATAGCTGGGCGCGGTGGCTCATGCCTGTAATTCCAGCACTTGGGAGGCCGAGGCAGGTGGACCACGAGGTCAAGAGATCGAGACCATCCTGGCCAACATGATGAAACCCCGCTCTACTAAAAAAAATACAAAAATTAGCTGGGTGTGGTGGCTTACGCCTATAGTCCCAGCTACTCAGGAGGCTGAGACAGGAGAACTGCTTGAACCTGGGAGGAGGAGGTTGCAGTTAGCCGAGATTGCGCCACTGCACTCCAGTGTGGCGACAGAGCAAGACTCCGTCAAAAAAAAAAAAAAAAAAAAAAAAACACAAAAAAGCACTAACCATAATACAATAAGAAATCTGATAAATTGGATTTCATCAAAGTCGAAAACTTCTACTCATCAAAATATACCATTAAGAAAATAAACAATGGCTGGATGCTGTGGCTCACACCTGTAATCCCAGCACTTTGGGAGGCCAAGGCAGGTGGATCACTTGAGGCCAGGAGTTCAAGACCAGACCCTGCCTCTACTAACAACAACAACAACAACAACAACAACAAAACCCTACAAAAATTAGCTGGGTGTAGTGGTGTACGCCTGTAATGTCAGCTATTTGGGAGACTGAGGCATAAGAATCTCTTGAGTCTGGGAGGCAGAGGTCGCAGTGAGCTGAGATTGTGCCACTGCGCTCCTGCCTGGGCATCTTAGTGAGACTCTGTCTAAAAAAAAAAAAAAAAAAAGAAAAGAAACAGGCAAGGCATAGAGGGCAGAAGAAATTCATGATATAAATAAACAACCTGTATACAGTGTAATTAAAGAACTCTTACAGGCTGGGCATGGTGGCTCATGCCTCTTATTTTAGAGAGGGGATTTTGGGAGGTTGAGAGGGGAAGATCCTCTCATTTCTAAAAAATAAAAAAAAGAACTATAAATTAAATTAATAAGAACAAGATAATCTATTTTATAGGTGGGCGAAAAACTTGGACAAATATTTGGAAAGGGGTATCTGAATGTCCCATAAGCATATAAAAAGATGTTTAATAACACTGATCAAAGAAATGCAAATTAAAGTCACACTGGGATACCACTGAACAACCAGCAGAATGAGTAAAATTAAAAGGACTGACAATCACAAGTGTTTGTAAAGATATGGAGCATTTGGAACTTCCATACATTGTTGGGGATAGTGTAAAATGATACAGTCATGTTAAAAAGTGTTTGGCAGTTTTACTAAAACTAAATACACAACTACTCTATGATACAGCAATTTGACTCCTAAGTTTATACCCAAAGGAGTGAATGAACATATCCATAAAAACAAAACAAAACACACAGAATGTTTATTATAGCTTTATTCATAATAACAAAAAATTGGAAATAAATGTCAACAGGTGAAAGGATAAATGAATTAAGACATATTCATATAATCAAATAGTCTATTACAATAAAAAAATTAACAAGTACATTGATGAAAGAAATAAGGTATAAAACAATATATACAGTATGATTCCATTCACATGAAATTTGAGAACAAGCAAAATGAATAGATCATTAGAAAAGAGTAGTTATTTCTGGGAGGTATATAAACTAGGAAAGGGCACCAGAGAATCTGACATTTTTAATACTTTGATCTGAGTGTGTACATTTTTGTACGATCTTGATATGAATGTATACATATATAAAAAAATCAAGTATACCTACAATTAGTGTACTTTATTTACTGTATAAATGTTATTCTTTTTTTTTTTTTTTGAGATGGAGTTTCACTCGTTACCCAGGCTTGAGTGCAATGGCGTGTTCTCGGCTCACCGCAACCTCTGCCTCCTGGGTTCAGGCAATTCTCCTGCCTCAGCCTCCCGAGTAGCTGGGATTATAGGCGTGCACCACCATGCCCAGCTAATTTTTTTGTATTTTTAGTAGAGACGGGGTTTCACCATGTTGACCAGGATGGTCTCGATCTCTTGACCTTGTGATCCATGTACCTCAGCCTCCCAAAGTGCTGGGATTACAGGCTTGAGCCAACGTGCCCGGCCAAATGTTATTCTTTACTTAGAAAAAAGGAGATGAACAAATTGGCCTGGCATGGTTTACTCAATAGATTTGATGATAGAGAAAAACACCTATCAGCACACATATCACTTGCAAATAAATCAAAATTCATTCTGAGATTATGTAAAATTAATATAAACAAAGCATAGAAAAAAACCCTGAACTCTAACTCATAAAAAAATCTAAAATATTATATAGGAATATATTATGGACGAGCCACTGTATGTAACTATATCTTGAAAGCAAAAATAGCATGTAAGATGAAAAACAGTATCAAATTTCAATATACCATTTTTAAAAAGTAGATACAGGTTGGGTATCCCTTATCTAAAATGTGTGGGAACAGAAGTGCTTCGGATTTAACTTTTCCAGATTTTGTAATATTTATGTATACATAATGAGATGTCTTTGGGATGGGAAGTCTAAATATGAAATTCATTCATGTTTCATATACACATAGCTTGAAGGTAATTTTACACAATATTTTTAATAAACTATGTATTGTGTGCCCTTGTTTTGACTGACCTGTCATATGAGGTTAGGTGTGAAATTCTCCATTTGTGGTGTCATGTTGGCACTCAAAAAATTTTGGATTTTGGAAAATTTTAGATTTTGAATTTTTGGATTAGGGATGCTCAACCTGTAATTCTATATGTTTTTGATTCTACAGAGGCTAAAATTTCAACAAAAAGCTTGCTGAAATTACTGCTATGGACTATGCATTATTTCTGAAAAGAAATAAAAAATTGAGATTTGCCTAAGCAAATCAAAAAATCAATTTGAAAAACTTTATTTTCTAAAAATATCTTCTGCAGTGCACATCTTATTGAAGGTCAGCATGCATCTACTGCAATTGTGGAGTATTATGTCGTAAGGACCAATCTAATTACAGTTGATAAGACTATAATTTCACTATACTTTTAATGTCAAATTTAAAAAATCTGATTACTAAATAACATACTTTCTAAGAAATAAAATTTCAAATTTCCTACTCATTTATACACTTTCCATGTACTCAAATACTTTGTTCCCAGTTTTCCTGGAGACCTACTTCCTGGAGCCTCCAAGCTACTTACTTGACACAGTAGTCATCCTAGGACTTCCCTCGTTTTCCTTTGTGACATCTTTTAGTTTCAGGATCCCATGCCTTCTCACTTAGATTACTCCCTCATTTTGGTGAAGCACATCCTTTGGAGGCCTCCTAAGAAAGGGTAGACGATGAGATAAAATTCCGAGACAATGCAAGTCTTAAGGTATCTTTATTTTAGCCCCACTCTTGATTCGATTATTTGAGCACAAAATTCTAGGTTGGAAATCATTTCTTTTTAAACTTAAAGACCTTGCTTTCATAGTCTCCTAGCATTCAGTGTTGCTACCAAGAAGTCTAAAAGCCATTCTGAAAATGTATCCTTTTTCTGTAAATTACTCCCCTACCTTTTTTGGGAAGCTTTTAGGTTCTTCCATAATTCTGGCATTCTGAAATATATTAACAATGTGCTATTGTGTTTTTCAATTTCTTTCATAGGGCACTCAGTGGACTCTTTTAATTTAGGAGACTAATGTCTTACATTTTCGGGAAATTTTCTTTAATTTTTTCTCTCTTCACCTTCTTTCTCCATTCTCTCATTTGGAACTCTTTATTAGATGTTGCATACTATTCAGGTTTCAGTTTCTTTTTTGTTTTTGCCTACTTTTCATCTCTTTGTTCTATTTTTCAAAATTTCTTCAACTTATTTTCTAATATATCTACTGAATGTTTAATTTTGGTTTTCCTGTTTTTCCAATAGCTCTTGTTTTTGGATTGTTCATTTTTTAAAATGGCATCCTGATCCTATTTCATGGAAGCAGTATATTTGTTTCTGAGAATATCATGGATTATGTTCATCTTTCATGTTGAAGGTTTCCTGAAATATCTAGTGATCCTTGGCTATTTGTGTATAGTGATTTCAAGTGACTGAAAACTATATAAGAATGAGCGGGGCTGTGGACTCTCAGTTTCACTGTAACAAACAATCAAGTGTCAAGCTGGTTTTTATACTGCTCTTTTTTTGGGTGGGGTGAGGAGGGCTGGGTATAAGCCTAGTTGCCAGCTTCTGTAGCCAGGTGGAGAGTGGACTGGAGGCTCATAATGTTCAGAATATTGACATTCTCTCAATCATTGTGTCTTTCATATAGCAAATCACTGCCACTACCATCCTCCCCCTGTCCTCAATTCTAAGTCTATTTGGTTTAATTTCTCCAGACAATAAGGCTTCAGTTATTTGGTAGAGAGACAGCTGCTTGCCTACAAAGGGAGGGCAAAAAAAAAAAAAAAAAAAAAAGTTCAAATAATACCTTTATTTCAAGGGCATTATTGTTTATTACTCCCACCTTCCAGGGTATCTCGTGCCTTTCAAATCCCTGAGTCTTTGGTGGGCGTTCTGGAAGGCAAAGACAGGTGTTCCAAATTTGTGAATGGCTGCCATAACTGTACTATCTATCAAGTATTTTTTTTTAAAGTGATATACTTTCCCTTCATGGTATAGAAGAGTGAGAAAGTAACTGCTTAAAACATACACAGACAAAAAAACCACAAGCCCAAACTACCTACTATTGAGACAGCATTTAAAAAATTTGTTTGCAAACATTGTAACGGTTATGTGGTTATTTTAGCTAAATATCACCTGTCTCCTCTAAAAAATCTAGTATCTGCAATGGCCTTGTCTTCTAATGCTCAACAACAGTTCTAACCTTGGATCACTATGTATGAGCCTCCCTCACCCCCAATCTCTTATTATTAGATATTATTATTTTAGAGACGAGCACTTGCTCTGGTGCCCATGTTGGAGTGCAGTGGCATGATCATAACTCACCACAACCTTAAACTCCTCAGCTCAAGCAATCCTCCCAATGTAGCCTCCTGAGTAGCTGGGACTATAGGTGTGCACAGTACTGCTCCTGGCTACCAATCAATTATTTAGGTATAAAAAAACAACACGTAGGCTGGGAGCAGTGGCTCATGCCTATAATCCCAACACTTTGGGAGCTGAGGCGGGCAGATCACCCGAGGTCAGGAGTTCAAGACAAGTCTGACCAACATGGAGAAACCCCAACTCTACCAAAAGTACAAAATTAGATGGGCGTGATGGCGCATGTCTGTAATCCCAGCTACTTGGGAGGCTGAGGCAGGAAAATAACTTGAACCTGGGAGGTGGAGGTTGCAGTAAGCCGAGATCATGCCATTGCACTCCAGTCTAGGCAATAAGTGCAAAACTCCGACTCAAAAACAAACAACAAAACACATAATGAAAAAAGTCAGTTCCTGGGAACAACTATATGACTAAAACGCAAGCTTAATCCATGCCACTAACACATTTATAGGGTTGGAGATAAAATGCAAAAAACTAAATTTGAATTTCAGATAAATAACTTTTTTCTGGTATATGTGCTGTATTTCATTATTTATCTGGAATTCAAATTTATTTGGGTGTCCTGTATTTCTGTTTGCTAAATCTGGCAACCCAACACATTTAAAGAAATGTGTCCAAAGTAGAATGTGACCAACATAGAAAAATGGCATTCAAAGAAGGAAACTGGGCTCTGCATTAAAGCTTTCAAGCCATGGGAAAGTTTACTTCAGTACCAACTAGGGAGACAGGGACCAATATCATATAACACACTTTGCAGTGAGTCTACATGGAATGCATTGTCTGTGGCCAACATTAATGCCAGTCTTCAATTAATTCAGAAATTAGGATTCTCCAGGTAGTGGCTGCACCCTGAGCTCTGCCAATGAGCACTCGGGCCATTCTGGTTACTCAGGGTGCAACCATAAAGCCCAACTAGGGTCTTTTTTTTGCTAGAACTCTCAAAGGAAGTTGCCCCTACTGATTCATTGCGTAATTAATATATTGCAAACCAGAACGATCAGCTGATACATTGCAGTGTCAGGTCCCACAGCTGACACCATAGATGGAAGGGTAATATATTAGGCATAGGCTGAGCAGTTACCCAAACTTAACAATTTCCCCCCAAGCAAAACTATACTACAGCTCCTTAATTTATTAACTGCAACACTCATTTTAAGAGTTTTATTTGGTTTCTGTGCATACTAAAAAGCTAGTTTTAATCTTGTTAGGCTAACCAGTATCCTGAGTCCCTTCTGAATGATTATTGTTATATAGAGCCTAACTCCCCTAATGATCCCAGAAATTTTCATATCACATGTCAGAATCATCTGTCTTCCCAAATAAACTGCCCAAATTCCAGTCAACTTCCTGTTTTATGATTCAACTGGAAACCGCTGCTAACCTATTTAACTGACTCCACAGTTTAGAAGCAATAACCCTATTGCTGTCTTCCCGTTACACTGTTATTTTCCTTTAAAAAAAAAAAAACAAAAAAAACAGGTACCAATGTAACAGCAGCACTTTGGGAGCCTGAGGTGAGAGGATTGCTTGAGCTCAGGAGTTCCTGACCAGCCTGAGTGAAACTGTCTCTACAAAGAAATATAAAAAATTGGCTTGTGTGGTGGTGTGCACCTGTAGTCCACACCTACCAACAAGGCTGAGGTGGGAGGATCACTTCAGCCTGTGATCCTTGAGGTGGGAGGTCAAGGCTGCAGTGAGCCAAGATCATGCCTCTGTACTCCAGCCTAGGTAAGAGTGAAACCCTGTGTCAAAATAAATAAATAAATAAATAATAATAATAAAAAAATGAAAACCAGGCATTTTCCACATCTCGCTGAGAATAGCTGGTCATAGCTCTCACAGAAGATGGAAAGCCAGCAAGTGTCAGGTCACTGTGGCATATCCTCATCCTTCCCATTTCTTGGTCTCACTTGCAAACTTTTATAGTCTTAGCTGCTGCTGCTAACTGAATGGAACAGCCTGGCAAACTGCATGAAATTATCAGACTCAAATATGTAGTCATTACTAAAATTTATTTAAAATTATCAGAGATACATCATAGAGATTTTTCTTTTAGCAACAGCAGGTTGACAAAGAAGTACTGGTAGTTGGTGCCAGCTAATGTAGCTCCCTCAGTCCAATGGCTATCACTGGTGGACAAACATGTTACCAGCTTGCACAGTTATAAAGTCTGAGAAGTTACCCTGACTTCTCGGGCTGTTCTATATATCCTAGCTACCTGAGCAAAACACTTCTGGCCCTTTGTGCCATTGCCTTGTGATTAGCAGACATAACTTAAATTTGTATACAAAATATCTACATATTTTCTCCATTTCCTTGGCTGAGTATCCACTGTGGGGGTTTAATCGAAGTGTGCCCTCCACACGAATCTTCGCTACACTTAGATGGCTGCTCCATTCAATTCTTTTATATGATTCTCCACTATAAGCTATTTTCACTACGTGAAGGGCCAACATTTGGATTAGGGTTTAGGCTTATTTAACATGACCTTAGATAGCAGAAATGGCTTGGGGCAATATATATTATTTTAAAACTAATTTCCCATGTGTCGTATCTAATTTTGCATTCCCAGCATCTGTACTATAGTAGGCACTTTCCATTGCCATATTGGATGAATGGCTAAATTTCTAACAGATATTCAAAATTAACAGGCTGCTCCAAAAGACGTGTTCTCTAACACTGGAGCCAAAAGTAGAAAGCCAGATGCAAGACAACTTATGCATAATAAGCCAAGTGATTTCTAAGGTCCTCAAATACCTTAGTTATCTACACTAATATCAAAACGTTATTTTCATCAGAAAGACAATTCTTTTTATATGAACAGTTGTGATAGATGGCCCAGTAGGAGGGATTTCTGTCACCTGGAGGGGACCTATCATATGCCCTCCTGCCATGAATGTATGAATTTTTTCCTTTTCTTAGGAGGCAGATGGGATTAAAAGACATGATTATGGTCTTTGGCTCAGGGTTATCTGGACTGCTTTAATAAAAATGTTGCCTATGGCCGGGTGCAGTGACTCATGCCTCTAATGCCAGCTACTAGGGAGGCTGAAGCAGAACTGCTTGAACCCGGAAGGCAGAGACTGCTGCGAGCGGAGATTGCACCACTGCACTCCAACCTGGGCAACAAGAGCGAAACTCCATCTTAAAAAAAAAAAAAAAAAAAACAGTTGCCTATCTACGCCGACAAAGAAGGTTAATGTCCACTTGTTTAGAAATAGTTTCCTTACTGCTTTGATAAACATTTCTATAAACAGAGGATAAATTCATCTCTTTTTATCCTAATTATGGTGACTGCATTTAACCAGAAGCCAACATAGGGAATGCAAAGGTAGTAAATCCATTCTCAAACCCCAGTGTCTGCGCCACGCAAAAAGTCAACTTAAGTCTTATGTAGTTACCTAGTATTTTGTGCAATCTGGAATTACTTAAAATATAAAAAATAAGCTCAATTTAATCTTGACTGAATATCAGAATTTTCTTCTTCAAGTGCGTTTCTTCTCTAGGGATACCAAGTCATCTCCAGTCAGGCATAATATATAGAGAGAGGTACTGCATCTATTAACTCTATTCCGTACTTAGTGAATGTTGAATATGCCTTAAGCAAAGTAGGATCTACTTCATTTGTTGAGGACAAATGACCATACTCTGTTTAGCATGTACAAAGCTGTTGGTTTATTCAGCTGCCAAGCTGTGGAAAAGTTTCCTTTTGAAGTGAATAGCAAAAATGCATTTATGAGCAAGGCACTTTTATACACACACAGAGAGAAAATGGAACACATTATGGATACATAAACATCAACATATTTTAATATGCAGACCTCTTCCCTATCTCATCCCACCTCCCCTTAAAACAAAAAAAAAGGAAGAGTTTCTTGTAACATTTTAGAAACCAGTTTCTAACAGAATATCTACATATGAACAGTTTCTGATACATCCAATTACACTAACAATATGACATGGTTTTAGGCAAATACTTTCATTCTACAATTCCCTCTATTTTCCTTTAGACCAGACAGGTAAGCCTCAGCAGAAACATTCATTAGGTTATAAGCATTTTTCTCTTGCTATATATTTACACAATTTGTGATTCCTAACTGCTTTTTTTTTCTTGAGACAGTATGTCACTCTGTCACCCAGGCTGGAGTGCAGTGGGGCGATCTTGGCCCATTGCAACCTCCACCTTCTGGGTTCAAGCAATTCTCCTGCCTCAGCTTCCTGAGTAGCTGGGATTACAGGTGCGTGCCACACGCCTGGCTAATTTTTATATTTTTAATAGAGATGGGGTTTCACCATGTTGGCCAGGCTAGTCACGAACTCCTGACCAGAAAAAAGCAAAACTAAAATAAGAAAGAGGATATATATATTTTTCATAATCTCTTTTCTGATTCCCTTTAGATGCCCAGTCAACCAGGACCATGCACAGATTTCATTTCTAAGAGTATGTGAAAAGATTAAATAGTCTCATGCATTTTACATATATTGATTTCTAGGTTTTGACTCATTTACAAGGGCAGATACTCCTGTTTGGCCAGAAAATCTGTAACTAAATCTACTTAGAAAAACAATGCTAAAACTCAACTTCAGATTGTACTAGGCTGAGATTTTCTAATAAGAAGGTTCTTTAAAATTAGAAGGGTTCCCAAAGTTTGCAATGGATGTGGAAAGTACTTGAACTTTTGCTCCAAGAAATGTTATACAGATTAAGATTTTAATCCATTAGCAGTTAACACTGAAAGCATAAATGCTCTGTTGATAGTTTTCTATTTGTCTTTCAAAATGTATTTTATTTACTCTTGAGAAAAGTCTGAGTGCCAAGATTCAGGAAACACATTCCCTACAGAACATGTGTTTGTTTAATCCCAAGAGATGATCTTATAGGCTGAGTCAGCCAGAGACAGTCTGGTGGGAGACTCTGATATAGAATGTTCATGCTGTAACTTTAAGTACTGAAGTTTGTAGTAGTATATGATAGGCTTCAAACTGCAGTCCTTCCTGCCACCCCATAAAAAAAAAAAAGAACCCTAAAGAGTGTCAAATGTAGATGCATCTATATAAAAGCTGGAAAAAGTCATATCCCTGACATTTTCCTTTGTGTACTCAATTTAGTTCAACTACCTCCATGTCAGAGAAGAGTATGCTCAGAAAGGTATTATTGTGGGTAACCAACTTCTTGCTTTCAAAAGTGGCTGTTCCGAAGTATGGATAACAAAAGGGGTGGTGGTCTACTTTTCTCCATTAATAATCAGATATCTCATTAAAGCTATTCAGAAACGCAGAGTAAATTGGGGTGGGGAGGGTGAGAACTCAGTGAAGAATATTCAACTATTTTTTGTAACATGGGTTTCTTAACTAATTCTCCACTGATATTGTCGTTTCTTTTTTGAGACTGAGTCTCGCTGTTACCCAGGCAGGACTACAGTGGTGCAATCTCCATTCACTGCAACCTTTGCCTCCTGGGTTCAATCAATTCTCCTGTGTCAGTCTCCTGAATAGCTGGGATTACAGGCATGCACTGCCACAGCCGGCTAATTTTTCTACTTTTAGTAGAGATGGGTTCCGCCACGTTGGCCAGGCTGGTCTTGAACTTCTGACCTCAGGTGATCCGCCTGCCCTGGCCTCCCAAAGTGCTGGGATTCCAGGTGTGAACCACCAAGTCCGACCTTGATACTATCATTTTATCCATAGGATTTGTCAAAGGGTATCCTCATTGGCTTACCAGGGCATAAAATAGTTTGATTGAGAAGGCATTGGTGGGCTGTGTAATGACTTTGTACCACTTTCTCAATTAGCAACATCAGAGATATCAGAGCAAACGGTAGATCTTTATAGTGATGCAGTTAGGAGTTTGTTAACTGCTTTTTGGAAGTCAGTGTAAGAATAAGTAGTGTTGATGGGTTCAGTTCGAGTTGTTTCTTTAACTGTTTTAGTTAGCCAGCCACAGCAACACCCAGAAACACATGAATTAGGGATCTGTTTTAGGTATTCAGGTATGGGAGTGGCTCTACTCAATGTTCGGCTTAGTTGTTTGGTGGCAAATTGCAGTGCTCCATTTAGAGTGGCATGATCTCTAGAGAGCCGGCTGGGACTTGTAAGGGGCTTCTGAAAAGGTGGGACTCCACAAGAGGCCAGAGGGGGCCATTCAGGAATTGGTTCCAGTTTGGGGACACAATGGGAACAATGGGAGAGTCTTAGACCTATCTCTCGAAGTATATGGACTGGCGTGCTTGGATCCAAGAGTTTAGCATGATACAACCAGGAATTAGGATTTAAAGGTTTCCAAGTTGTAGAATATTTTAAAAGGCACTTCACCTGCCAGGCGAGACTCTCAAGAGGCGATAAGTTGGGTACCATGGAGTCCTCTTCTTCAGAGGAATCCCACTCTTCCCCAGAACTCTCATTTAGGTAGCTCATGTTTTCTTCTTCCTCACTTTCTGATTCTGACAAGTGGTCAGGAGAGGGATTTCTAGGACCCATCGGAACAAAACAGAGTAAGGAACCAGAAAAAGGTAATAATCTAAGCCAGCAGAACACTGAATAACACTGGCAAATAGAAATGAGATGAAAAATCCTTTCACCAAGGTTACTTTGTCTTTCAGTTCATTACACAAATAAAGTATGCTTGTGGCCCACACCACTGTGCAGTTCTTCAAGATTATGTTGAATATTCTTCACTTACAAAGAAGACATCTGTTTCCAGGACCAGTTCAGTGTGTAAAAGTATTAGTCACTTACCAGTGGCACAGGTCAGATTATTTCCTTCAAATCCTGGCTACCCAAGAAGAGAAGGGGTCCTCATCTAGGCAAGCTCATTTATTTAGCATAGTCCCAATTAGTAGTGATACTGTGAAGAGATACTTTTTATGCTGTTTTGCTGGCAGTGATATAATATCTACTTGATCATGAAAAGAAGCTCAGTAGTTGTCTTGGTTGTCCGCTGGTATAGCAACTTTTGTGCAGAGGGGGAATGATGGGATGAGCTGTCAAGAACATCTGGTGTATAAGGATCCGATGTTTTCACAGGTGATGCAAATGTCCTTGGAAATTGCTGAGTTAGCTGTTGGACTATCTGGAAAGGTAGCCTTAACCTGTGAATGAGAAGACTAGAGACATGATTGTAAAGCCTGAAAGCACTGGATAACACCATTACCTATCTAACTTTAGGGGAACTAAAAACAAAATACATGCTGAGCAAGAAGTCTTACAGACTCTTCCCTCTTTATTTCACAGGCTTAGGTCAATTTACCTATTGGTAATAGCTCTTAATACCACAGTATTGGGGAGGACAGTCTAGGGCCATTTTAATCCTTTGTTAGTACATAACTGGGCCAGTTTGTATGCAGTTTTAGCCTAGAAAATTACTTTTGCAAAAACTGATCCCTTATGCCCCAAACTCTAAATAGAGAGCTATCAGAGGTATTTTTTTTTTTACCTTCAGAGGTGCTTGTTGGGATTAGTTTTAGGGGGCCTGTCCTGGTGGTAGAGCTGCTAAATGTTAGGATTCTTGCTGGGACCTCAGAAGTTGTGATCATATGACCAATTTGATATAAGCTGTTCCACAAAAAAGCAAAAAGCATGAAAACTGACCAGCTCCTTTTATAAAGATAATAAAAATCAATTCCAACATAGGGATGAACCAAATAAGAAAAGTATAGGCTCATTTCACTTGCAAAATCCTAAATATCACTAACAGAATCCAACAGTACATTAAAGAAAAAAGAATGTTATTATCAAATACGGCCTATCCCAGGAAAGCAAGAATAACTCAAATTAAAAAAATGTATAAGGGGTGTCGTGGCTCATACCTGTAATCCCAGCACTTTGGGAGGCCGAGGCTGGCAGATCACAAGGTCAGGAGTTCAAGACCAGCCTGGCCAAGATTGTGAAATCCTGTCTAACAAAATTAGCCAGGCATGGTGGCACATGCCTGTAGTCCCAGCTGCTTGGGAGGCTGAGGCAGATGAATTGCTTGATCCCAGGAGGAAGAGGTTGCAGTGAGCTGAGATCTAGCCACTGCAGCCAAGCCTGGGCAACAGCAAGACTCTGTCTCAAAAAAAAAAAAAAAAAAATTACTAGCACTAAAGAAAAAAAAATAGATAATTTCATTGAATGTGGATATTTAACCTTTGTTAGTTCCTCACCAACATGCATTTATGCTTTAAAAATAAAACATTTTTACTAAACTAGAAAGAGAATGGAACTTTCTCAATGTGATAAAAGTTATCTACCAAAAACTATAATCCTGAATGAGATGAGATATATTTCCTTTAAAAGTGAAGTCTGGGGCAGGGCACAGTCGCTCATGCTTATAACCCTAGCATTTTGGGAGGCCCGGGCAGGAGGATAACTTGAGGTTAGGAGTTCAAGACCAGCCTGGGAATATAGTAAGACCCTGTTTCTACAAAAAATTTAGCCAGGCATTGTGGTATGCTCCTTTAGTTCTAGCCACTTGGGAGGCTGAGGCAGGAGGATTGCTTGAGCCCAGGAGATAGAGGCTGCGCAGTGAGTCATGATCACACATTCTGGATGACAGAATGAGACTCTTCTCTATAAAAAACAAAAAGATGAAATTCAGTAAAGATGACTATGTTGACTGAGTTGGATACTGTCTGACATGGTATACTAAAAGTCCTAATCAATGCTTTTCTTTCTTTCTTTTTTTTTTTTTTACAAAAGATATGTTAAGAATTGGAAGAAGTAAAACTATTAGTTTATAGATGATATCTAATAAAAAAAAAGCCATACAAACTATTAGACTTCAACAAGGTTCCGCAACTGAGATTAACCGATGAATATTCATTAATTTAATTACTTATATAGCACTTACTATTTGCCATATCCTACTCTAGTGAACTGCACAAATGTTAACTATTTTAAAATTCTTCTAACAACCCTAAAAGATAAGTACTTTTACTGTCCCCATCTTAACTGTGGATTAAGTTACGTAACAAAAGCCATTCATCTAGTAAGTCATAGGGTCAGTGTTTCAACCCAGGCACTATTAACTTTTATACCAGCAATACTAACTAGACCATATATGACGACATTTCACAGAAGAAAAAAGAAACAACAAAAATCTAATCCGATAAAGAACCTAGGAACTCATCATTAATATACAGGATCTAATAAACAATATAGAAGATAATTTAAAAAGATATTCCATGCTCTTGGATGGAACAAATATCCTAAAGATATCACCTTTCTCCCTATTAATTACAATTCCAATCAGGATTTTAAGGAACTCTATAAACTTTAAAGTTTATATAGAAAGGATAAAATTCCACATATAGCCAAATGAACTGTTTAAACAGAAGAGTAAGGGAGTTCCTATTCTTCAAGGTATGTCCTGTTGACTAAAGTCACAGAAATTAAAATAGGGTAGGATTAGTGCAGACAACAGTCCAATAGAGCAGAACAGAGATTAGAAACAGAGCCATATATAATTTGGGAATGTAATATAAAATAAGGTTGGCACATAAACTAAGGGTGAATGGATATGGTTAGTACCCAATATTGGTACAACTGGCTCATTATATGAGAAAAAGTAAAACTGTATTGGAGTAAGAATTAAGAAAAAATTAAGAACAAAGTTAAGAAAAAAAAGAAAAGTAAAACCGTATTCCTATATAATAACATATATAAGGAAGGACTCATGATAGATTAAAGACCAACTATATAGTTAGTTGAATATAATAAAGAATATCTTTGTGAACCCAGGCCAGGGAAAGACTTCTTAAACAAAAAGCATAAAGCACCAGACCAAAAAATAAATTTAATTACATCACAATTAGTCATTTCTGGACTGAAGATACTAAGGACAAAGTTAAATCAATTTTTAAAAAAGATAGCAACACAATAAGGAAATGAACAAAGGACAAAGAGAGCCAAATTATAGAAGAGAAAATCCCAAGACATGAATAATATGATCACATTATGCTATCAGTTTGGCAAAATCAGAATGGATAATGGGAAGTGTCGGTGAGTTCTCTTATGGTACTGGCACTGCTGTTGGGACTGCAGAGTAGAGTAACTGTTCCAAAGAAGAACCTGGCAGCACTACTTAGGCAAACGATGCCAATCTCATGACCTAGCAATCCTACTTTTGGGCATAGATAGCAAAGAAATTCAGTAGGAACATGTATGAGGATATACCCTGAAGCTATATCTGTGATAATAGGAGTTAGAAGCATTCTAGGTTCTTATCACTGGAGCAGCAGACTGGTAAAGTATATATAGCAACACCAGTGGCCTTTAAAGGCATAGCTTTAAATGAGAAAAGAAACAGTATTTTGATTCCAATAGAGGTTGATTTTCTCTTGTATTTTTCTTATTTACTATGGGGTACATTTTTTATTTTTCAAATTGGATGATAATTTCCAGGAAATATTCTTTAAGTTTTAGTAAAGAGTATTTTTTTGTTGTTTCAAACTGAAGTTTACTGAGAGATCCATCAAATTGAGCTGTCTGTTGATAATTTAAAATTTTGGCCACTCTTTTCAGATTTTACATTATTCTTGCTGAACTTCTACTTGAAATTGTTTTTTTTTTTTCTTTTTCTTTTTGGATGTAAAGGTGAACATTCCTGATTTTTGTCTGATGTGGAAAAAGCTTGGTATTTTACATTTTGAAAATTCATGGTAACTTAATATAAAACAAAGTTTGCATTCTACTCAGGAAAAAGCATCTTCTTGTATATGTCTTAAATATATCTTTGTCCTTATATGCAGAAAGTTCTTAATTGATTTTATAGTCTCTAATGCTTGATGTTTTAAAATCATAACATTTTAATATTTTTAAAAGGCAGACTTCATATTCTCCTGTTCTTTCCCGACTGCTAATATTGTGTGGAATTTCACAGGTAGAAATTAACAGGATGGAACATTTTGTGTATTTTTACTCCTTAAAGAGCTAGAATATACAGTTTTTACCTTACAAGAAGGGGGAAAACCATAAATACAATGCATCAACTGACCATTATGTAGTAGACAATTTCTCTAATGTCCCCTTCTTTCTAGGCTCTGTTGCTATGTGAATCCATTAGACTTGTGGTATCATAATATACAAGTTTTTTTTACAGGCCTCTCCTTTAGAATATAATAAAATATTATACCATTGGAGAGTTTGGATGTGTAACCTGTGATGTCCTAGAAAAATGTCCTAAGCCCAAAATAAACCTTTCTAACCACTTCAAAAAAAAAGAAAGAAAAAAAAAATCAGTATCAATGCCTCATTTATGCTACTCTGTGGGGGGTGGGGGGAATTTCCAAAATCAAAGTCAGTGAACATTTGCATTATCAGATACACTGAGTTGTGCTAATAAGGTCATATGGTATGGCTTCAGGTCAGCAATTGTCCACTCATGAGTATTTCTGTGGCTTCCAGACACTCCTAGCACAGTGTCTGGCATATATTAGTGGCTCAGCAAATATATATTTGAAAGAATCAGAGAATGGTAAAGGCAGTAAGAAACTACCACA